TGGAAAATTGATACATAAAATTTATGTCCTAAAATGCATACACTATGCAGACGAAGTCGCAGCCAATAGCTAGTCAAAAATAAAATCGAAGAATTCACGTCCACAACGCAGTCCAAAAGTTCAAATAAAACCAAAAATAGTTCCCATTTGCACTAATCAAGTTTCGATCCCTCTCTATACACACACACACGACACAATTAATCAATTTGCAATACCAGTATTAATCACCTTAATAGCTATGACGTCATACAGTTTACAAATGACGTCACAGAATAATGTCACTTCATAACTCGAGTGTACTATGTTCTATTGACAGCCAGTGTACTTCGCTACTAATCTCGACAAATTGACTGCAGTACACTGCTGGCCATAATTAATTGGTCGATATGTTTGACAAGGCGAGTATTTTTGTTGTCTTTTTTATCGTAAGTTATTTTTATTTGTATTTGACATATAATAACATGTAAGACATTATATTCATAATCATATATTATCTATTTTATGAAAGGGTAAGTACGTGTAGTTAGAAAATCCAATTATTACTGGGTAGATCTTGATGTCTAACACAAAATTTTTTATTCATTCTTAAAGAACCCGAGGATTTATTTTGAAAAACGTTGGTATGTCTGTCGAATTTGACTCAATTTATATACGAATTAGTTTATTTAATTTAACAACAGAGTACCATTAGTACAATTTTCAGCACAAAACCACAAACTATTTTAGAAATTAAGAATTCATTTACAGTTACGCAGCTAGATCAACTCATCAGGTAGTCCTAACTAAGTGCAAACAACCCTTTCCGAAGGCAACTAACCTAATAAACTGATTATAACTAAAAACAACGAAAACCAAACTTAATAATTTATTACACTATCACTGAATAATACAGCAGTCTCACAGTTTGTCAAAACTTTCTCGGGATCCGTTTTAGGGCACATTTTGTTTACTTTCCCGTCCATGTCCCGTAATTCCGAAATTTCGGCCTTATTGTTATTTGCTCCGTGTCAATTATACCGCTGGGTCTGGTTTGGGCGAATTAATTTGGAGGCAATTTGCGCTTTTTTCTCAGAGGTGAGCTAAATTTGATGTGATTATGTGTACGTGGTTGCGTGTTTCCTTGATTTTTTTTGCTAAAGTAAAATCTTGTGCTTTTGAGTCTCATTTTTTAAATGCTTCTGTAGCTGTCAAATGTTCCTGTTTTAATTTCTATTACATTTTCAGATTGTAAATTAAGGAATGAATTTTTGGTCGATGTTTAACCACCGAGATAAAATGGAAAATAGAAAAGTGAATGTATGGCATTGACACTGGCATTCAACAACGTATGTCATCATCACTATCATCAATAGCCTACAAGCGGCCACTGTTGACCAAAGATTTGGGCATTAATCACCTCGCTTGCTCAATGCGGGTTGGCCATTTTAAAGTTATAATCAGAAATTATAGGCCCAGGTTTCCTTTACTGTTTGTCAGTAGAGTTTAGATTCAGGATGAACTTAAAAAATTATATATAACACGAAAAAAAAACACATTGGTACTAGCCCACACATAGTACATTGGTAGGTTTCGAACCCGCACTCTTATGTACGAGAAGCGGGCATCTTAAACCTTCGGCCCAGCACGACATTACTTATGTCATATTCAGAATTATGTGTGTTATATTTAACAACAAACTAGTAACACAACTAAAATAATTAAAGGTAAAATAAATATTATAACCAATAGGTTATAATACATATTTATCTATCAATCATACTTTAAAAAATGATTTGTCCAATTAATTTGCAAGCAAGTGTAATAGCAAACAAAGCTTATGGGTGATACATTAGCCAGGAGTAACGGTTTCTATGTCGATCATCGTCATTATGATGATGATATACAAACTGACGTGTGTACAATTATTGCCTAGTTTGTACTGTGATTATTTATTTGTGTATAATTATGGGTGTAGGTGGCAAAATGTTAGAGTAGGGCTAGTTACGATTTCTTTAAAAAAATCTATTTAGTCCGTTAGTTAGGCAATGAAAAAATTTTAGACACGTATTTTTTGTGATATAAGAAAAGAAACGAAATTTTACAAATAAAGACTAGCTACGTCATTTCTACGTATAGAACGTACTTAGAAGTGACGTCATGGGATATTTCAAATCAATATGGCGTCGCAAGTATTTGTTACTGTAAAAAAATAAAAAATACGTGTCTAATATTTTAAAATAATATACACGACGGACATCACAATCCACTTAAAAATTTTATAATTCTACAAAATAAAATCAAAATGTAAAATTAAAAAAAAATATTATTTTTTATAAGCATCTTTGCACACTTACCTACCTAACAAAAAGACGGAACCGTATTGTACCGTAATTGTAAATTAAAAATATCGTGTGTCCACATTTTTATTTTTAATTCTGTAGAACGCAGCAACTATGAAATTCCGGTGGTCAACGGCGCAAAGGTTAATTTGTTCGGCTTCGGGCTACCGTGCAGTGTAAATACCGCTCATATTTTTGCTTTAATGGAAAATTTTGTTGTTGATTTACTACGGGCGGATACTTGGAGAAGGCATTTCTATGAAGAGAAGAATGATAGAATCTGAAGTAAAAAGAAGAAATTAAGAGCATAAATAAAGAGACTGATGACTGTTGATGAATCGAAAGAAGTATAAAAGAATCGTAGCAATTGGCGTCTGTAGTGTCTGCCTACCCCCATTGTCGACGTCGCGGAGAACCTAACGGGTAACCGGGGCTCCGGCTCGACGTGCAGGAGAAGGAACGGGGTGGTTTTTAGTCAGTAAGAGTCTGACACTCCATTCCGCCTCACCCAGGCGGGTGCAGTCATTCGATGATTTTCCCCCCTTAAAAAAAAACCCATTGTCGACATATGTGAGATTATGTATTACATAATTATGTAAATTAAGAGATACATTGGTACCTAATATTCACAGGGCAACATCACATTTTACATTTTATTTAAATTATTTGAGTGAGTTCGGCTTGACTTGAGATATAGCACCTTCTTACAAAATATTCGTAAAGGAATGAGATGTGATGATGTTTTAAGTAAGGATCCTGGTTTGATGGTCATATCTGGTGGGCTAGTATAGGCATGCTAGTAGGTACGTATTGTTTCCTTTAACATCACACACCACATCAACAGTATACAAGTAGCCATTGGTGACCAAAGGCCTCTTCTCACATGGAGAAGTTTTGAGCGTTATTCAAATTTATAATTAGAAATTATAAGCCCAGGTTTTCTTACGATGTTTATCTTCACCGTGTGTCAGTATGGTGTCTAAATAGTCTTAGAAAGTACACATAACTAGGAAAAAGTCATATTAGTACTTACCGTTGGTAGCTTCCGAACAAGTGAACGTTTTAAACTTACGGGCCACCACGACCTTATTTTCACTGCAAACTTTGAATGTGCGATGTAGAATTTGTGACGTCAAATGAGCCGATATATTTAACTTCCCTTCTTATTTATGTGCCACATCCAACATCCAAACATGTTCGTTCATCCTAACTGGTACTTGTGTTTTGTGTGGCTTCTCTATGCTTGGCACAGCCAGAGTTGGTCCTCGAGCATTATATTAAATTAGTTGATAACAAATATGACCTGGTAAACTCTCGGTCATTGGCTTTATGGCGCACTCTACGATGCTTTTAGGTGAGAGACTAGCTGCACCCGCAACTTCGTTTGCTTTTTTATAAAGTAAAAGTAGAATTTAAAATTATTGCTTTTTTTCCAAAAGTCGTCTATTGTTTATTGATTAGTGTTACATTTTCATCGCATTTCAATCTTTTTCGTCATCATGGCTACATCTACAACCAGCATTGATTAATCACTCGTTTCCGCTGCTCCTGCACGACAACGCACGACCTCACACTGCACAGCAGAAGGTCTCCAAGTAGTAAAAACCGGGGTCGGCAGTTTTCCGACCTACAATACTTTTTCTAAAATTAGTTAACTTCTTGGAAAAAGTTCATTATTCTAGAGGCAGTACAAAATACCTTTGAAGTTGATTGCCTCCCATGCGCTGATTTCTGTAAGAAGGGCGTCAATAAACTGGCACTGCGTTGGCAAAGATGCATTGATTGCATGGGCGATTCTTCGAATAGAAAAATACATACAAAAACTGGTTTCAATATATCATGCAAAACGGCAATATCCTATTATTTATCGTATGTATTACTATACATGTAGTAAAAAGCTGTTATTTCATTAATGTTACAAACAGACTCTCCAAATTTTATTTGCCTGTTTAGGGAACAGAGTGGAAAGTTCCCTGATATCGGAAAAGGAGGATCCTCCGACCAGGCGAGGTGATCGTGCCAAGGTGGAGGAGGTGGCGGGCTTTCTGCCCAACAATTGCTCGTTGGGATTTTCTATCCGTGTTAAATCGTATGTAAACTTCACATGTGCGATGTAGGATTTTTGTGACGTCATCCGCCGACATGTACCATGTTTCGCCACACCTGTATGATTACCACACAGATGTACCCCTTTTTTGTTTTATTCCATTTGTATACTTGAGCGACTTCATCATATTTATCTGATTTTTAGAACCCACATTTAATTACAAAAGGGCTTACAGTATTTTTGCTTACCAGAGTCTCGTTCTTGGTCCAATAGGGAATTTGCTTGTGTCACACCATTGGACGTTAAATATTCGACAGCTGCTGTGATTGGACAAAAGAACCCATTTCTACATTTGCGTCATCTGGTGAGCAAAAAATTAGCCCCTATTGGAGATCAGTATAAAGTTTGACAAAGTCGTGGCGGTCATGTATGCCGTGTTTGTCATGTCGGTCGTGTCGATCGCGTCTGTCGTGTCTGTCGTGTCGGTCGTGTCGGTCGTATTTGTCGTGTCGGTCGTATTTGTCGTGTCGGTCGTATTTGTCGTGTCGGTCGTATCGGTCGTATTTGTGGTGTCGGTCGTATTTGTCGTGTCGGTCGTATTTGTCGTTTCGGTCGTATCGGTCGTGTTTGTCGCGTCAGTCGTATTTGTCGTATCGGTCGTATTTGTCGTGTCGGTCGTATTTGTCGTATCGGTCGTGTTTGTCGTATCGGTCGTGTATGTCGTATCGGTCGTGTTTGTCGCATCGTTCGTATTTGTCGTATCGGTGTCGTATTTGTGGTATCGGTCGTATTTGTCGCATCGTTCGTATTTGTCGTATCGGTGTCGTATTTGTCGTGTCGGTCGTATCGGTCGTATTTGTCGTATCGGTGTCGTATTTGTCGTGTCGGTCGTATCGGTCGTATTTGTGGTGTCGGTCGTATCGGTCGTGTATGTCGCGTCGGTCGTATTTGTCGTGTCGGTCGTATTTGTCGTGTTTGTCGCGTCGGTCGTATTTGTCGCATCGTTCGTATTTGTCGTATCGGTGTCGTATTTGTCGTGTCGGTCGTATTCGTCGTATTTGTCGTATCGGTGTCGTATTTGTCGTGTCGGTCGTATCGGTCGTATTTGTGGTGTCGGTCGTATCGGTCGTGTATGTCGCGTCGGTCGTATTTGTCGTGTCGGTCGTATTTGTCGTATCGGTGTCGTATTTGTCGTGTCGGTCGTATCGGTCGTATTTGTCGTATCGGTGTCGTATTTGTCGTGTCGGTCGTATCGGTCGTATTTGTGGTGTCGGTCGTATCGGTCGTGTATGTCGCGTCGGTCGTATTTGTCGTGTCGGTCGTATTTGTCGTGTTTGTCGCGTCGGTCGTATTTGTCGCATCGTTCGTATTTGTCGTATCGGTGTCGTATTTGTCGTGTCGGTCGTATTCGTCGTATTTGTCGTATCGGTGTCGTATTTGTCGTGTCGGTCGTATCGGTCGTATTTGTGGTGTCGGTCGTATCGGTCGTGTATGTCGCGTCGGTCGTATTTGTCGTGTCGGTCGTATTTGTCGTATCGGTCGTATTTGTCGTGTCGGTCATATTTGTCGTGTTAGTCGTATATGTCGTGTCGGTCGTATCGGTCGTGTCAGTCGTATTTTTCGTATCGGTTGTATTTGTCGTGTCGGTCGTATCGGTCGTGTCGGTCGTATTTGTCGTATTTGTCGTATCCGTCATATTTGTCGTGTCGGTCGTATTTGTCGTATCGGTCTTGTTTGTCGCGTCGTTCGTATTTGTCGTATCGGTGTCGTATTTGTCGTGTCGGTCGTATCGGTCGTATCTGTCGTTTCGGTCGTACTCGTCGTGTCGGTCGTATTTGTCGTGTCGGTCGTATTTGTCGTGTCGGTCGCATTTGTCGTGTCGGTCGTATTTGTCGTGTCGGTCGTGTATGTCGCGTTGGTCGTATTTGTCGTGTCGGTCGTATTTGTCGTGTCGGTCGTACTCGTCGTGTCGGTCGTATTTGTCGTGTCGGTCGTATTTGTCGTGTCGGTCGTATTTGTCGTATCGGTCGTGTTTGTCGCGTTGGTCGTATTTGTCGTATCGGTCGTGTCGCGTCGGTCGTATATGTTGTGCCGGTCGTATATATTGTGTCAGTCGTGTCGGTTGTGTCGGTCGTGTTTGTCGTGTCGATCCGTCTGTCGTGTCGATCGCGTCTGTCGTGTCGATCGCGTCTGTCGTGTCGATCGCGTCTGTCGTGTCGATCGCGTCTGTCGTGTCAGTCGTATATGTCGTGTTTGCTATGTCGGTCGTGTCGGTCGTATATTTCGTGTCAGCCGTGTCTATCGTGTCTGTCGAGTCGGTCGTGTCAATCCTTTCTTAAAGGATGTCCACGTCATAGTAGCTTTATGCATGCAAAGTCTCAGTGCGATTAATGTAAAATTGACAAAATTTCATACAAACTTTCATCCCCTATTTTATCTCCTTGGGGATTGATCAAAATGTTTTCTCAGCGGCTACTTACGTCATAACATTTACCTTTTTTTTTGAGGGCGGAAATCATAACATTTACCTGCATGCCCGATCCATCCAGTGGTTTGGGCTGTGCGTTGAAAGATCAGTCGACTGACGTCGAATTATTGGCTAGTCAGCGCCTTTTGACTTTTAAATATTTAGATAATTATAATTTGGAAGTCGGTAGAGGACAACCTAGGCGGACATACTTCGACCAAATAGGCATTTTTTTAAAACAAGCTTTTCGAACGAATACAAAATTTTGTATTCAATCGATTAAAGACATAATCATCCATAGCTGCATAAAAGCTTCAGTGTTGTGGCTCGCGTTCCCGTGGTATAAAAAGTAGTCTATGAATTATTTCGGAACATAATGTACCCCCGTTTCTTTTCATTCCGATTCCTTCACCTGTTTGGACCCGATGAGTAAGAAACGAATATAAAGCAACCATAGTGTTACCAAAATAAACTTGAACTTACTAATAAATATTTGTAACATCGCTTGGATATCGGTTTGCGTACAATTTCCGTGGTGCGAATTCTGTGCTATAAATCGTCTTACAACGTTATTATGTCTTTGAACAGAAGCTAGCGGCCAGTGTGCATCGTTCCTTGAAATGTTAAGCTGTATGCATATAGGGATGGAAAGTGACATAGGCTACTTTTTATCTCTTTCTAACACCCCACTTCCCTAAAATGGAGGTGGAAATTTGTATGGAACATTCTTTAATTTTTAAGCCAACGATACATTAGGGGACAAATGTTCTGCGACACGAAACGTATCGCCAGCGACGTTGGGTGAAGTAGCGCGACGTTGCCGGACTTTGGGCGACATGTCTGGCAACATAACGCGCCACAGGTTTCCTCCTCGCGCGATGTCGCCATATATGTTAGATGACATGTCGCTGATACATGTGGTGGGCCATTTCTCCCCTTGTGTATCCTTGGCTTTAAAGTAGAAAGCCTTTTTTATATCTGATGGGCCGAAGTTTGTCCACTATCTCGCCTGGTAGTAAGTGATAATGCGGCCTACGATGAAGTCTGCCCATAAGCAACCTAATCCCTTCGGCTTTAACCCAGGTTATTCCCTTCAAGAAACACAAACTCTGGCAAAGAATGCTCCTCCTTAGCAGTTCGCACAAGTCTAAAATTGATATGCAGACTAGAGGTATTTAGTAGTGTGTCCAATAAAAATAAAAACATTGTGTATAATTTGAATCTGTCTTCAAACATAAGCACGTGCGAAGCCGTTGCCCGCTGACCAACTGGAGGTTAGTTTGACGTTCAAAAGTGCCTTTCTGGTCTAATTGTAATGAATAGTGTTGACTTTGACTTTGAAAGCTAGTAAGAAAATAAAAGATTATTACGTATAGATACGACAAAGAGTCTTAAATACTACACCAGCATTGTAAACAAGTCTTAAATGTAACATAAATCGGACGTCGGTGCAATTTCCAGGCGGCGGTCCACGACTCGCGCAGTGGAGTTATAAATCGTGGAAGCTGCTCCACACAGGTGCTAATTATTACGTGGTATCATTACTAATTAGGTAATAGAGTTCATTCCCTCCTTTGTTTTATTTATTTAGATGTAGGTACAAAGATATTGTCGTATGGTGATGGTGGTGGTGACAAGTTAACGAGGACTTTTTTTAAGTGGAAAAGTCATTGAATGATTTCTCCCGCTCGGATGAGGCGAGAGAGAGAGAGTGTCAGACTCTTACTGACTGAAAATCAACCCGTTCGGACGCCTATACTGGTTGCTGGTTGTGAAATTAAACTAATCAAGATGGTTACAACTGCCTCGTTGGCGGAGTGGACGTCAATGCGACTGCCGGGCAAGGGGTCTCGGGTTCGATTCCAGGGTCGGGCAAAGTATTACTGGGTTTTTAAATATTCTCAGTAGTAGCACGGAGCCTGGAATTGTGCCCGGTATATGCCAATAGGCTCACCCCCTATTACATGGGACTCATAACTTAAATAGTGAAAAGTGGGTGTTACGTTGTACAGTGGCATAATGTGCACCTCTTTCTACCCCTTCGGGGATAAAAGGTGTGATCTTATGTTATGATCATAATCGATAATGTAGGATTCCTACGGTAAAATACTTTTTCAAATCAGTCCGGTAGTTTCGGAGCCTATTCAATTTAAACAAACAAAAACCCAATCTTTCCTCTTTATACTATTATTAATGTAGATGCAGATATAAGATAAGATTATTACTCTCAAAATTAAGACACACAATATAATAGTTTACATGAAATGAACAATCTCTTTCATAAACTAATGGTGCTTAAAATTTACACCGTCAACTTGGGTCCTATTGCCCCTCACTAGTTAACCCGTAACCTCGGCCACGTAGACCCAAAACTTTTTCAACTTAATCTTCAGTAAGGGTCTGACGGAGAATTAATCTATTGAACCAAACAGAGTTATATTAGGTTATACGGTTTTCTAGATTCACCACTTTATTTGCTAATCATATGTGGTTATTATTTGACCTATTCCGAATTCTATGGACCCACTATTTAAGACTATTTAGACACCATGACTGCCTCGTTGGTCGAGTGGTCGCAAGTGCCACTGCCGGGCAAGAAGTTACGGGTTCGATTCGCGGGGCGGGCTAAGTCGGGTTTTAAAAAAAAACTCAGTGCTAGCACGGAGTCTGGAATTGTGCCCGGTATATGGCAATAGGCTCACCCCCTTATTACATGGGACTCATAACATAAATATTGAAAAGTGGGTGTTACATTTAACAGTGGCATAATGTACACCTCTGCCTACCCTTTCGGGGATAAAAGGCGTGATATTATGTTATGTATGTAGATACCACTGACATTTGATGACGGATACAGCGAGGAAACTTTTTAAACGGCAGGAAAGTCCTTCGGTGACTTATTTCACCTTGGGTGAGGCGAGAGAATATCAGACGCTTACTGACTAAAACCACCCTGTCCCTACTTCTGATCTTCGAGCTGGAGCCCTGGCTACCCGTGAGGAAACCTGGGCTTATAATTTTAATTATAAGTTTGAAATGACCAATCCACCTTGAGCAAGCGTGGTGATTAACCTCTCAAGTGTCGGTATATGTAGATATGAGACACAGTAGAAAATATATTATGTTTCGCGTAGATCTAAGATTCGGCATACCACGGGTTAATGCGCAAACCTTTTCCATGTGAGAAGAGGCCTTTGGTAAGCAATGGACATTTAGCAAATCAGCGCCGTGGGCTCGAGCCTCTGTGCCCGGTCCACGGTATTAAGCTGAGCTCCAGCCTTTTGCGCGGCGACGCACCATAGGCTTTTTTGTGTGTACCTAAATTCTTGTCGTGTGTCGTAGCAAAATAAATGGTTTTTCTTTCTTTCTTTCTTACTTATAGGCTGTAGATGATGGATCAGAAGTTGTGGAATGGAAGGGCATCAAAATTTTTGACAGATAGTTCTTTGGTATTATGTAACTGCTACCAATTTTACATTCTAATTATTATTTTTTAATATGTTTCATGCAAAAAGTGTGCGACTTAGGTGGACTTAATGCCGCAGGCATTTTCTCCCAGTCTGACCTTAGGGTGATGCAGAGAAGAGTAATTGGTAGACGTGCAAGAGGCAAGAAATGATTTTATTTGACAAAATGAAGTGGCGATGTCGCTCAGTCTACACCAGTAGACTCGCCAGTACAGTAGTATCGCCGCGACCCCTCACGCTGCTCATGAGAAAGAACCCCTCTGTGGTTCGAAACTAGTAGATCTTTTGTCAGTGTATTCACGTGAGTAATCCGCAATTTTTAGTCAATTTAGAATGTCTCACGATAGTCATTATAAAATGGAGACAATTACGTAATTCTTTATTATACTATATTACAATAAAAAGCAAAAGAAGAAATATAAGCATAATCAGTGACCTAAGACAGCAATTCGTAGCACGAATGCCTACCCAAAGTGGCCATTAGAATAACCATCCTATCTAGAAAACATTCAGTAACGAGTCTCTGAAACCTAAGAGTTCCCATTTGTTCAACTCGGAGCTTTAAATGCGGACAAATTTGAAATTTAAATCGCACCGTTTAAGACGATTGATGACGCCACAGTCCTCGGAATTTCACGTGACGAAGACACCCTATTACTTATGATTGCTTTTAGGATTATGTTTTCATCCGATTGCGGCTTAGAAAGATAAAAATAGAAAAGAAGAAGATAATTTACCTATGTGTATTATGTGTATTTTAACTATTGTGAGACATAAAAAAATAATATGTTTTTGGCTTCCTTAGAATGGCTTGACACTAGTCAAGAACCTCGTCGAACCGTTACGTGAGTAAGCGAAAAAGATAATGATTAATTTAGTATGTGTTTTTTGTTATTGCCTTTATTATTATGGATATATAGCATGACTGGATGTGCTCAATTTTCTTTCTTTCTACCTCCTGCCAGCGGCTTCGGCATTCCCATGGAATAAAAAGCCTAGCCTATGTGTAATTTCATACTATAATCTATGCCTGATCCAAATTTTATTCTGATCCCTTCAGCCGTTTTGACGTGATTGAGTAACAAACAAACATACACACGAACCTTCGCATTTATAATAATAGTAAGATTTATAATCAACTAGCTCTGCCAGTTCCCGTGGGATATAAAGTAGCGTATGTGTTATTCCATACCATAATCTATCCTTGTTGCAAATTTCATTCCGATCCCTTCAGTCGTTTGACGTGGGAGAGAAACATACACACACACACACACACACACACATACATCTTGACAAACTTTCGCATTTATAGTATTAGTAGGAAAGTACTATGGCCTTTGTTTTATTCAAGAGACCCTTTTTTTGACGGGGGAAAATCATCCAATGACTTCTCCCGCCCCGGTGAGGCGAATGGGAGTGTCTCTAACTGACTAAAAACCACCCAGTTCCTACTCCTGCACTTTGAGCCGGAGCCCCGGTAACCCGTTAAATCTTCCGCGGCTCCGTATCGCCATCAGCCCTGTTGGGCCCCATCTGTGGTGATCTGATGGCTCCTTATTCAAGAGACCTGGATATCGAGTTCCATTGGAAATATAATAAAATTATAAGATACATTAAACATTATGGCGTGATATGAAAGAGCTCAATTGGTTAATATAAAGGTTGCGATTATAATAAAATAAACCAAGTTGTGTATTTCAGTTTTTGACGTGACACAAACAAATAAATGTATCAGTGGTTTTTGAATTTTTACATACCTACATAACATCACGCCTTTTATCCCCGATGGGGTACGCAGAGGTGCAAATTACAACACTTATGCCATTGTACAATGTAACACCCACTTTTCACAATTTATATTATAAGTCCCATATAATAGGGGGTGTACCTATTACCACATAGGGCACAATTTGAGACTTCGTGTTACGACTGAAAACATTTTAAAAACCTATTAATACTTTAAATTTAAGAAATTTTACTCAGGAATGAAATAGGGGTAGGTTTCAAAGTCTGTAATACATGCGAGCAAAGCCGTTGGCTTCAGTCAGTTTTTATTACATTTTTCATTATTGCTTTAAATAATATAATTAAGCATATTTCTTGTCCTTTTGTGAGTAGCAGTTTGTCATCTTATATCAATATTTTATATGTTATTTAACATCTTATCTTGTATCCTCAGTCCTGAAAATTAAATATAATTAATTTAAAAAAATACTGACTGAAATAGACTGCCTCGTTGGCCGAGTGGTCGCAAGTGCGACTGCCGGGCAAGGGGTCTCGGGTTCGATTCCCGGGTTGGGCAAAGTATTACTGGGTTTTTAAAAATCTCAGTAGTAGCACGGAGTCTGGAAATGTGCCCGGTATATGGCAATAGGCTTATCCCTATTACATGGGACCCATAACATAAATAGTGAAAAATGGGTGTTACATTGTACAGTGGCATTAAGTGCCGAAATGTGCACCTCTGCCTACCCCTTCGGGGATCAAAAGGCGTTATGTTGAACGTTATGTTTAAAAAATTCTAAATACCTATGTAACAAAATGGTAAATGAATGAGATTATTGACACCATTCTTTATGGGAAGTTTCGCGATTCTAACAACTCAAGTACTTTTGTGACATACTATTTTGCCTCAATTTTGATTTCTCTATATGTGTATTTAATAAAATTATCTGTAGCTTACTGGAAATAAAAAATAAAAATAATTGGCTCTATGTATACAGAAGCTGTTGGTATACCTATTTAAATAAATAAAAAAAATATGACCCTCAACGCATTTGTGAAACTCGAATTATAATTTTCAAGATTTGAAGATTGGTATTTTTATTTAGAAAAAAAAGCATCAGTGATGAAGCTAACGCCTTGATACCTACGTCGTAACTATTTATTGCACGTCTGTAATCCTGTAAATTATTTATTTTAACATTGATTATATTGTTAATTAAAACAGTAAAAGTTAAATAAGCATATAGTTAATAGCAACAACAAACCAAAAATAAGAATAAAACTATCAGACACTTGTTTAATGTTGTTATCTATAACAAGAAATTAAAAATAATGTAATGTGAAAAGTTACAACAGTATTTTTTTCTTAGGACCTCAACAACTGAGCCTGCTGACGACTTAACGGGTCTACAGGGAGTAGGAATGGGCTGGTTTTGAGACAGTAAGAGTCTGACACTCGCTCTCGCCTCACCCAGGACGGGAAAAGTCATTGAATGATTTTCCAATTTACGAAAAGAAAAAAATTGTTAATTCGTTATTTGGCTTGCTATCTCTTCGTTTACATCGATTCTAAGTAACAATTGATTATGAAACTTACTTACATCAGTTACATCACGTCTATCCATGACACTGAAAAACAAAATTAAATGTATTAATCGATTTTATAAAATACTTGTTATTGCAGACATATAATGCGTATTTTTGATATTGAATTGGCTCTGGTTCATGAGATAAACGCGATACAATAAATCGATGAATTTTTTTTCTTGTTTTAATGGAAATTTGATTTAAGACTTTTATTACTAAGTTTTTTATTTACTCACGTATTTAGTCACCAAATAATATCTAAATACGTTGAAATCATAATAATAATAGCACTTTTTGTGTTCCTTGCTGGCCGAGTGGTCGCAAGAGCTCGATTCCCGGGTCGGGTAGTACTACTGGGTTTTTGATTGAATTCTCAGTGGTGATTGGTTCCATCAGGAAAAATGAAACAACGATAGCAAGACCGACCGCCACAAGATGGTAGACTACTGCTGGTTCATAGTAAGAGATTTTCGGGACTAATTACATGATAGAAGAGCCTACAGAAAACTAACTAAATTTTGATAGAATGCGTACATATTTTTTATGTTTTTGCATTGCTTTTCTATGTACTGGAACTTTAAACAAGGTATTTTCAGTAAAATCGTATTATGGTGTTTACCTCAAAAACTAGAGCCAATTCGATAAATCAGATACTTTTCTAGTATTCAGTACATTAAATAAAAAATAATTGACTTCAATCTACCCCGCAAAATGATCGTTGACCAGTGTTGTCATCTCGTCTGTTGTTATCTCTCCTCCCATGTTGCTTATCATCATTTCGTCTGCCGTTATCTCTTCTATTGTAATCTTCCTTATCGTAGTTATCATCATTTCTTCGACTGTCTACATCCCATCTGTCATTATCTCGTCTATCTCCTTCTTGTCTGTCGTCATCACGCTTGTCATCCTCTATCCTGTCATCATCCGACCTATCATCCTCACGCCTATCGTCATCCCACTCATCATCATCACGTTTGCCGTCCTCACACCTGTCGTCCTCACGCCTGTCGTCATCACGTCTATCGTTATCTCGTCTATTGTTATCACGCCAATCACCATCTCGTCTGCCGTTATATAATCTATCTTCATCTCGCCAGTCCTTATCATGTCCGTCGCCACTTCGTCTGTTATTTCTATGTTCCAGCCTCTGCGGATTTAAAGTCAAGCTGTTATATGTATAAAGTTGGTATGAAATCATTTATTAAGTTAAGTCCTCCGCGTCAGTCATCCTATTGGGCCTATGGTCCTATCTATGGTGGTCTGACGGCTCTTTGAGGCGCTCGGGTCTGGTTCTGATCGGCGGCGACCTACCCTTGCTCGACATCTGCAGGCCCGGGCTTACGGTGCGTGGCCGGAGATTGTCTCACGAATCCCGACGCCCGGAGTGACTCCCACGACGGCTGGGGTGTGAGGAGGTTCTTTCCCTCACGCGCTCCGCTTCCCCCTTAGATAACATGACTGCTTCACAATAGGAACAGACGGCATCATAGTTCCCCTCGTTCCGTACCATGGTCTGAAACAGAGCTGGACGCGAGAGGTCGCCGTCTCCGATCACATCCCTGAGGACACCGTGGTGCTGTTTGCAGGACATACCTACCTTAACATATATTCTACAATCCGAAAAATTAACTATTGTTGTTAATTATACAACCATTGTCTCGGTTTTGGACCCAACTTATAAAAATAATGTACCTATTACGTATATACTTTTCTGTTGTAACCACTTACAGTTATTATAATTATGTACCTAATTCTGATTGTGATGAACGGATTTGATAACAGTATAAAAAATGGAGAGGGAGATAAATAATAAAGTAGAAAGGTAAAGTTAAAAAAAAAAATCTTAAAAATAATGAAGTTTGTCAAAAGATTTATTAAAAAAATGTAAAGTAAAATAATGTATTGCCTAGTCTAAAGTGATTAAACATAGGTATAAGTAATGGAACGTCGAAAAACTATATGCCTAAATAAAAAAATCAAAAAACGACATTGAATCCTTACAATTCGAATTCAATTCTCATTAACACGTACCTACCTTTACGTCATATACGGCGGGAAATATATTTTTTTTTCTACTTACCGCTGGAACAGCTAGTGCAACAACCAGGCAAAGAGAAGATAGGATTATCCACCTCATTGCTGCCAGCCCACAGTGACGCTGCTACTAAACCACCTTTCGCAGCTTATAAAAACCTACGAATACCGTAAAAAATCAATATTAATGATTGCATGGTGTCATAGCACCAACCGTAAAATCAAGACGCGTTAGTAAAAATATAATTTTTGAAAGTTATTTAAAGTACTTTTTCAAAAATAATTTATTATGATTATTAATGAATAGATTATAACTTTGTGCTGTTCTTCATTAGTTTTCCATTAATTCGATATTAAGAAAATTAGTTTTTAATTTTTATAATCTTAATTTGTTGCTATTATTTACTGACGGTTTTTTAAGGGGATAATATTATCCAATGACATGAGTCATGAGACTTCAGGTCTATCAACTCTCATGACTTCAGGGTGCGAACCATATTCCCGTCATGGGTGAGGCGAGAGGGAGTGCTAGACTCTGACTAAAAACCACGCCGTTGCTTCTCCTGCTTCGAGCTGGAACCCAGGTAATATGTTAACCATCACAGATCTCGCGCGTGCCTATCGACGCGTCCTACGCACGGGCCTGGTTGTGGTCGGACGGCGAGCTACCCGTGCTCATCGCCCGCAAAGCTTACGGTGGCTGGAGATCGTCGCGCAATCCCCAACGCCTGGATTGTTCCCTGCGACGTGCTGGGGCGTGAAGGATGTAGGTAGAATCCTACTTATAAAGGTACGTAAGTACAAGTAAAAACAAAACGGCTCTAAAATACTTTAACGCCAATTTGGCGTGAACAAAAAACACTTTCTTTCGAAAATGTTTGGTAATAGACATTACTCTTTCTGCTCACCTCAAGTGGCATTAAGCGCGATGTTTTGGAACACATCTAGATTTTTATGCCTCGTATAAGAAGTACTGATCTTATTATTTAAAGTACGAAGATTGTATGGGTAGCAAAAAAGAATTTATTAAAAATTTTAACCCACCACTTTGCGTCCATTTTTGGATCGCCATGAATGTTAATTACTTATGAGGCTTTTATGAACTATGTTTCAAAGAACCTTTTTTTGAAGTTGATTAAAACCAGAAGGTTTTACCTGACAAATACACATATATGTTAAGTGTGGGAGAGCCATGCTTCGGTACAAATTGGCCGGTTCGACCGGAGTGATACCACGGCCTCAAAGAAAACCGACGTGAAGCAACGCTTGCGTTGTGTTTCGTCGTGTGAGTGAGGTTACCGGAGGCCCAATTACTTCCCTCCCTAGTCTCCCGAATCTCCGAATCCTCCACAATCCTCAAATTCCCAATTCCCAAAAGGCCGGTAACGCACTTGTAACGCCTTGGTGTTTCGGGTGTCCATGGGCGGCGCCGATTGCTTACCATCAGGTGATCCGTCTGCTATAAACAAAAGTATACATAGATACAAACAATGACATACACACATACTGGTCAGACTTAGACACTCTTTCGTGATATTCCCTTGTTTTTTTTTCATTTAAAAAAATAAACTGTGCCAAAACAATTTTTTGCACCAACCGTACAAAGGTAAGAGTCGTTTTAATATGCTAATGCTCTAAAATAAATTTGGCATAGGCATTTTATGGAGAATGAAGCATAAATTCAATTTTCCGCAGGGTAGGGGGCGCTGGCATCGTTCTTAGGGGTATTATGCGTATGTCCCTCGAGCTTTTCGTCTTAAAAGAACCCCTTGGTTTTAAAATGGTCATCATTTTTGTGGACATTTAGTCTTCGGATGTATGGAACCGTATTATTTAATAGATGACTTTTATAGTTGTGTATAAGTAGATACAAGAATATTGTCTCTTTATGTACGAATAAAAAAGGTTACGCTCCGTTTTTATGTTTGTGTGTGTTTTTATGTTTGTGTTTGAGTTTTAGGGCTTGCTTGTGAATTTGAGGGTTTTAATCGTGATCCCATACGTTTTTCTTCTGTGTCGTGGGTACGTTTACAAATTACAATATTTACCCATTTCACTAAACTAACTAAACAAACACATTGAACTATTTGTACTATAGTTGAATACAACTGACTGCCTCGTTGGCCGAGTGGTCGAAAGTGCAACTGCTGGACAAGGGGTTTCGGGTTCGATTCATGGGCTGGGCAAGAGCAGTAGTAGCGCAGAGTCTGGAATTGTGCCCGATATATAGCAATAGGGTCACCCCCTATTACATGGGACTCGTACCCGTCTTTTTTTTTAACTCAGTTAATATACGGTACTAAAACTAGCTCTTGTGTGTAACAAACACATATCTGAAAATCTCATCAAAATCGGTTTCGCCAATTGCGATAATCGCGGTCAAACATATTAACATAAAACCGACTTTAACTTCCTATTTTTAAGTTGGTCAAGGATAAACTGAAGTTATTCCTAACCTTTTCTGTTATGCAAAATCCATTTTGAAATTATAACCGCAAAATTTATGAGCCAAGTTAGTCTAGAAGCGAACCTAGGTCCCGTTAAAACAATGATTATTTGCCAACATCGGTGAAACTGTAAGCTGGAATGAAGCTCTGAGCTACAATAACAAAGTTTGAGTAATTAGCAAATATAGCGGCCGATAGTTCGCTCTGAACCGTATATACCTACGATTTGTCGAGTTGTGTGGTCATTTATTACTTGCGGCACTTTTTGATAGTGACTTTTTATCGACTTCAAAAACAGAAGATTTATATTCTTTGACCACTATTATCGAGATTGACTGAACCGATTTTTATGTGGCGACACTTTTCTTTCCTGTAACACTTTTCTGGAAACCGCGTCAAAATGGGCTCAGCCGATGTCGAGTTAGTCGCGGATAAACATACATAATGCAGGTCAAACTGGGAGCTACCTTTTTTTTAGAAGTGGTTCAGTTAAAAATATTAGGTAATCGACCAATAGTCTAATCATAAATGTGCACCTACCAGACTTGCTGATTCACTTTGCTATAATTTCCTAAGAGCGACTGATCCGGATGTACTGCGCCCGCCATTTTTCATGTAGTCGTCGTCGACGTCGACGTCTCTATTAACCATATTTTATATATTTTCTTTTTATGTATGATAATTCAGTAAACTAACAGACCGATCATCTGATAGTAAGCTTGGTGCTATAGACACCCACAACACCAGAGCAGTCACAAATGCGTTGTCAGCCTTTAGATTCGGATCAGGAGGTGGGACTGTGCCTCCGGTAACCTCATTTACACACGTAAATACAATATTTTGTTTGTTTCACGCCGGTTTCTTGTAAGGCCGTGGCATCATGCAAGCATCGTGGAAGCATGTCTCTTCTACATAAATACATAAGGGCAAACAGAAAAACCGACACTATTGTACACTATGTATTTCAGTGTCTCAATAAACAAAAGATTACATAAAAATATACTCTAGACTCTTGACTATAAAGTTGCTAAATCAAAGTTTTTTATAAATGAAGTCATTACACTCGTATTGGTACGTTGTGATGTAGCCAATTTCACAATATACGTAATAGGTTTGCATTCTCGAATCTTCATTCTAATAAGAGCTGGGGAGCGTATCGATTCAAATGGGTGAATCTTGCGATTGTGGCTAGAAAATCGGCGGCTAATTACCTCTAATTTTGTTGCATTTTATTTTTAACAAACTTCAAAAAAAGTAGGATCTCTGTTTTATCTGTATATACGTATGTGTCTGCGCGATTATCTCGAGTTTGGCAGAACCGATTTTGATGCGGTTTGTAGAAAAGTTGTTAGGACTATTAATTTACCGACTTTAAGAAAAAAGAGAGGGTTGGAGTCGGTTTTACTAAACGTAGTTTATGAAACAATTTTAACATTCTATAGAAATTGAAATCGTAACATTTTGTTTTAGTTAACATTATAAAAATCTATACCTACTACTGAGTACTGATCTATTCTTTAATATTATAAAGCTCTGGAGTTTGTTTGTTTGAATGCTCCAATATGTATTAGTAGGTATTGGTTTGACTTGACTGTATAATTGTGTTGTTGGATTATCTTGTACTATGTTCACCGTAGTAGGTCTGGAGGTTTAAGACGCCTGCTTCTCGTGCATGAGAGTGCTTGTTCGAACCTACCAACGGCAAGTACGAATGTGACTTTTTCTGAGGTATATATACATATTTCCTAAGATTATCTAGACACCACCGGCAAACAATTAAGGAAAATATCGTGGTTACCGGAGGCCCAATTACGCACCTCTTCCCCAATCTCCTATATTCCTGAATCCCCAACAATCCTCAAATTCCTAATCCCCAAAAGGCCGATAACGCATTTTTAACGCCTCTGCTATTCCAGGTGTCCATGGGCGACGCCGATTACTTACCATCAGGCGATCCGTCTACTCATTTACCGGCTTATAACATAAAGGAACATGGTGGTTTTTAGACAGTAAGAGTCTGACACTCTCTCTCGCCTCACCCAAAGCAGGAGAAGTCAATGAATTATATTCTTCCCTTAAAAAAGCTTTTTGGGTTGCCACGCCATAAGCCGTGGAGAACCTAACGGGTTACCGGGGCTCCGGCTCAAAGTGCAGGAGTAGGAACGGGGTGGTTTTCAGTCATTAGAGTCTGACACTCCCTCCCGCCTCACCCGGGCGGGAGAAGTCATTCGATGATATTCCCCCCTTAAATACCATAAAAAAGTATAATGTTGTAAACCATTATTATAATTTCTGAACCGCGGTTTTCTTAGCTCCACCTAGAAATGGAAGGCTGTCTTTTAGCGGATTCATTTTTAAATTCAAATTAACTTATCGCACGTTATCAGCGGGGGTGTCGGTTAAATTTTATGAGTCACCACACCACGGTGTAGTATATGAAGTTAACCACATTTATATATTGAGAACGAGGTTAAAGAACGTTCATTTTAGAACTATAGTTGAGATTTTAAGTTTTGACTGCCTCGGTGGCCGACAGGTCGCAAGTGCGACTGCCGGGCAAGATGTATCGGATTCGATTTTCGGATCGAGCACAGTATTATTGGGTTTTAAAAAAAATCTCAGTAGTAGCACGGAGTCTGGAATTGTGGCCGGTATA